AGGAAATTCCAGTTCCCAGAATTCCAGCTTGGAGCTGCCCCTCATTTTCCCACCCCATTCCATCCCCACATTCCCGGTTTTTCCCCATCCTATCCCACAAATCCATTGGATTTCCCAGCATTAATCCCAATGGATTTCCCATAAATCAAATCCCTGCTGGATTATCCCATGGAATTTTCCTCGTTCCTGATCCCAAATTCCCACCCTGCCCCAGGTCCCGATGGGAATCTCACAATGATCAGCTGATCCTGGGAATTTTGGGACAATTCCTTGGTTTTCCGGCTTTTCTGGGAGCTGGGAGAGGCTTTTCCAGAGGGGCTGATCCCAAAGGGAGATGAGAGCTCGTCCAGAGGCCTGGAAAACAGATATTCCAGGATTGTTCCCAAACATCCCAGGATTATCCCAAAATATTCCAGGATCCCCCCAAACATTCCAGGATCCACAAAACATTCCAGAATTGTCCCCAAACATTCTTGAATTTCCCCCAGACAGTCCAGGACTGATCCCAAACACTCCAGGATCTCCCCAAACATTCCAGGATTGTCCCCCAGACATTCCAGGATTGTCCCCCAGACATTCCAGGATCGTCCCCCAGACATTCCAGGATCGTCCCCCAGACATTCCAGGATCCCCCAAAACATTCCAGGATTTCCCCCAGAAATTCCAGGATCCCCTGAAACATTCCAGGGATTATCCCAGACATTCTAGGATTTCCCCCAAACATTCCAGGATTATCCCCAAACATTCCTGGATTGATCCCAAGCATTCCAGGATTATCCCCTGAAACATTCCAGGATTGTCCCCCCAAACATTCCAGGATTTTCCCAGCCATTCCAGGATTGTCCCCAAACATTCCAGGATTTCCCCTAAAACAATCCAGAATTTTCCCAAAACATTCCAGGATTCCCCCCAAAACATTCCAAGATCCCCTAAAACATTCCAGAATTTCCTCCAAACATTCCAGGATTGATCCCAAACATTCCAGGATTGTCCCCAAAACTTCCAGGATTGACCCCAACCATTCCAGGATTATCCCTAAACATTCCAGGATTTTCCCAAAACATTCCAAGATCCCCCAAAACATTCCAGGATTGTCCCCAAAACTTCCAGGATTGACCCCAACCATTCCAGGATAGTCCCCCAAAATTCCAGAGTTGTCCTCAGCCATTCCAGGATCCCCCAGACATTCCAGGATTTTCCCGCAAACATTCCAGGATCCTCCCAAACATTCCAGGATTTCCCCAAAACATTCCAGGATTTTCCCAGCCATTCTAGGATTTCCCTCAAACATTCCAGGGATTCCCCCAAACATTCCAGGATTGACCCCAAAGATTCCAGGATCCCCCAAAACATTCCAGAATCCCCCAAAACATTCCAGGATTTCCCCCAGACATTCCAGGATTTCCCCCCAATCATTCCAGGATTTCCCCCCAAACATTCCAGGATTTCCCCCCAAACATTCCAGGATTTCCCCCCA